TTTCTTTTATAATTTTGTTGAATATATTTTCTGTGCCTTTGAGATGGAGTTCTTCTCCTTCTTCTATCCCTATTATTCTTAGGTTTGTTCTTCTCATGGTATCCCAGATTTCCTGGATCTTTTATGTTAAGAATTTGTTGGATTTAATGTTTTTTGAGTCTATTTCCTTTATAGTATCTTCAGCGTTTGAGGTTCTTTCTTCTATCTCTTGTATTCTGTTGGTTATAGTTGTCTCTGTAGTTCCTACTCATTTACCCAGATTTTCCATATCCAGCCTTCCCTTGGTTTGTATTTTCTTTATTACCTCCATTTCGGTCTTCAAGTCTTGAACTGTTTCCTTTACCTGTTTGATTGATTTTTCTTAGTTTTCTTGGGTATCTTTGAGGGATGTATTAATTTCTTCTAACTTTTTGTCTGTCTTCTCTTCCATTTCTTTAAGGGAGTTTTTCTACTTCATCTTTAAAGGTCTTCATCATTTTCATAAAGTTACATTTAAAGTTGTTTTCTTTTGGTTCTTCTGGGTTAGGATGATCAAGTCTTCCTGTTGAGTGTCCACTGGATTCAGGTGTTACCATGTTGTCTTTTAGGATGTTGGAGGAATTCTTGCATTGGCGCCTACCCATATCTTCCTTCAAATTAGGCCAGCAGTGTCTTGGCATCTTGGTACAATCTTTGCTGTGGCTGTCTGAGTACTTGGGATGCTTTCTTGGTTGTCCTCTCTTAGGTTCTCTCAGTACTGGAGCAAACTGTGTTGCAGGATTCCAAGGATCTCACAGGCAAAAAGGCAAAAAGGCGGGCTTGGGGGCAGGGTGGGTTTGGGGAAAGCCCAGTAGCAGGAATACACCCCACTGGATGGCCAGAAAAGCTTAAGGAGATGGGGGGCTGGATTCTGTCCCACTGAGAAGGTCCCAGAGAGTGGCTCTTCCAGCTATCCGGCAATGTGGCCACTGACTCACCTCTCCAGTCCCCTCAGGACTGGAGAAGTTTTGAGTGTTGATATTACACACTATGATCTTTAAAACCTGAAATCTGACCATATTTTTCCTACATGTTTGCTTGCTTAGATTTGGTTTTGTTTTTAGTCTGTCCCTTTACATTTTCTAATTAAGGGAAATGTTACTAATGGTCTTATTTTCCCTTTCAATCTTTATATTATTTTGTTCCAGCACCATTAGTTAGGACACCAGCAAAATGTTGAACTTGGGTTATCAGAACATACCTCTAACCTTGTCCAAGGGTTAGGGGAGAGAAGGTTTAGTCTTTCACCTTAAATACCTTTGCTGCAAGGTTTTGAATTTGATTGATTGTTGAATGATTGACTGACTGATTGGTTGGTTGATTGGTTGTAAAAAGCTTTTTCTCAGATGGAAACTCCTGCCTTCGACTTCCTTAAATGCCTGGCTGCAAACACTGGAACAGGAGGGAAAGCTGATAATCCTCTCATGTTCTGATAAGCCTTTGTATCTCTCAGTTCCAGTGAGGCTAACATCCCTGCCCTTCTCTGAGGTGTCCCTCAGAGCAATCAAAACACATACCTGTAATTGGGTTTTTGTTTTGTTTTGCTCATTCTTTTGGGGCCCACCACCCAGCTCCCAAATAAATGGAAGGAGATTTATTCTTACTTATGAATGCTTGGCCTTATTTTGGCTTGTTTTTAGACAGCTTTTCTAACTTAAATTATCCCATTCCTCTTTAACTATATTTTGCCTTTTGGCTTTTTACCTTTCTTTATTCTATATTTCCTTCACTCCTTCTTACTTCTTGACTGGCTCTGTGGCTGAGTGGCTGGCCCCTGGCTTGCTCTTTTCCTTTTCTTTTACCTTGCTTTCCTCTCAGGTCTAGATCTCTCCGATTTATTCTCTCTGCCTGGTAACCCTGTCTATTTCTCTCTCCTGCCTGGTTACTGGCTCTTTGGTTCTCTATTAAATCAATCAGGTGTTTAAGGCAGACAAAGTAACACAGCTTCACAGAGTTAAACAAATGTAGTTTAAACGAATATGACACATCTTTGCAGCATTAAAAAAATTATTCCACAGTTTAAGATATAACACATCTTTAATGTTCCACAACATCCACCCACTAATTTTGGAAGGCACAGGCCCAGGGATCCTTTGAGAACCAGAGAGCCCTCCATGCTTAGGAATTGGGAGGGTGCTTCATGCATGCCAAGCCCTTTCTCAGCAAAAGCATTTACTCCATGTAAATGCTGGGAGCAAGCTCTGGAGCTCTGAAGTAGCTAATTATAGGGGACTGGAGAGATGGCTCAGAGGTTAAGTGCACTGGCTGCTCGTCTAGAGGTTTTGAGGTCAATTCCCAGCCATCACACAGTGGCTCACATCCATCTATAGTGATATCTGCTGCCCTCTTCTGGCATGCAGGCAGAACACGGAATACATAATAAATAAATCTTTTTAAAAGTTTAAAAAATAGCTAATTATCACAGTTGCTTTGCTTGCTGGTTGCCATTTAGGGTGACCAATTCCCTACAAGTTCCTGCCCATCACTGCACTGGTGTCTGGCTCAGTGCTTAATTCTCTAGTCTGTGGGATGTTTGGACTATTCTGTGCTTTGATTACAGGAGTTGATATTGAGGATTTATGCGTAAATAGAGACACATCTGTTTCTATGCAACTCTTGTGCTAACCCCGAACTTCTGTCTTTTTCCTACTCTCAGAGAGCTGGAAACTATGGCCTCCGAGAAACCTGCCTAGTGGTGTTCTTGGCGGTTTATCTGTCACTGAGCTCATGCAAGAACCCCAGTGTGAGCATTACCCACCTCCTCACTGCAGTCAGAGAAGTAAAGTCTGCTGTGAGCATACCAGGGGATTTTTCCTGAGAGGAAAAGCAATTACAGAACGATAAGGAGCAATTTAATATAGTCTGTCCCAAAGTCAACAATGCTCTGATCAAACATCTCTGTGAAATGGATTTGGGCTGCAGTGCTCCTGGGAGAAACCAAGGCATTTGCCCAGGAAAGCAGAGTACTGCTTGCCTAGGTGGTCAAAGCCACACAAAGAGGCAGGGCCGCCGTGTCAGTGGTTCTCAACCTGGGGGTCATGACTTCTTGGTGGTCACGTGTCAGACATCATACATACCAGATATTTACACCACAAGTTATAACAACTGCAAAATCACAGTTACGAAGTAGAAACACAGATATTTATGGGTGGTGGTGACCACAACAACAGGAAGTACGCTAAGTGGTTGCAGTCTTGGGAAGGCTGAACAGCACTGCTCTGTGTGATGAGACCTGACTGTCGGGTAGAGCTCCACAGAAGGAGAATCTAATGGGCTGGTTAGAGATGCTGCTGGCTCTGCATGTGGTGACTAGTCCCAAAGGGATGAAATTCTTGAAATTAAGGGGAAAGTGCTGAGATGAGGAATCACTAAAATGTTTCTTAGATTTACTCATTATATTTTGTGTATAAGTGTTTTGCTTGCAGGTATGTATGTGTTCCAAGTGCTTGCCTATGCCCTGCAGGGTGGAGAGAAAACAAAGAGATGCGGGCTCTGTCCCTGGAGTTCAGGGTTTCCTTTAGGATAAGATGTTTATTGCCGCATGGGACATCCAGAGGGTTGACTCCTCAGAGGTCCTCATTAGGGATGCACTCAGTGCTCACTGTGTGCATTCTGTCTGCTTGGGTCAAAGAAATACGAGGGAAAGAAACTTAGTTCCAACATAAGTACTTATCATATGGTTCGTAATTTTATTAATGCAAGCATTTAAAAAAAGGAACTCTCCCTGTGAACACACGTTTTATGGAGTTTATTTCCATCATCACTCAATTAAAATTCTTGCTCATTTTAACTGTGATCATTTTTCTTTACTCTGTGGGGAAGACATCTATTCATTAACTAACTGTATGACTCCAGTACATCAGATGCTTACAGTACAAACAGTAAAGTCACAAATGACTGGAGATAACGTTCAATGCACTGTGTTTTTCGTTGTGAGCCTAGCCTGCAAAGGCTGAGCCATCTCTCCAGCCCAACATAAATCCAGTTACGCTGAACCTTATAGGAGAGAAAATGGGAAGTAGCCTTGAACACATTTGCACAGTAGAACACTTCATAAATACAACACAATTAGTACAGATACTGAGATTAAAAATTAATAAATGGGACCTCCTAAAAGTGAGAAGATTCTGGAAGGCAAAGGACAGGATCAATAAGACAAAATGTCAACCTACCGAATGAGAAAAGATCTTCACCAACCCCATATATGACAGAAAGCTGATCTCCAAAATATACAAAGAACTCAAGAAAATAGATATCAAAATACCAAACAATCCAATTAAAAATGGGGTACAGATCTAAACAGAAAATTCTCAACAGAGGAATCTCAATAACCAAAAGGCACTTAAAGAATTGCTCAACATGCTTAGCCATCAAGGAAATGCAAATCAAAACAACTCTGAGATACCATCTTATACCTGTCAGAATAGCTAAACTTGAAAACACTAAAACAGCTTATGCTGGTGGGAATGTAGGATAAGGGGAACACTCCTCCATTGCTGGTGGGAGTGCAAACTTGTACAGCTGCCTTGGAAATTAGTATGGTAGTTTCTCAAAAAATTGGGAAATGAGTATCATAGAATCATCCCTTTGAAGAGGTAAAGTTCAGTGTGTGTGTATGATAGAGAACATTAGTCAGCATGGCAATCAAAAGATTGATTACAAAGATCTATCAAGAATCCCTGACAGGCCGGGCGGTGGTAGCGCACGCCTTTAATCCCAGAACTCGGGAGGCAGAGACAGGCGGATCTCTGTGAGTTCGAGGCCAGCCTAGTCTACAAGAGCTAGTGCCAGGACAGGAACCAAAAGCTACAAAGAAACCCTTCATCGAAAAATTCAAAAAAAAAAAAAAAAAAAGAAAGAAAAGAAAAAAAAAGAATCCCTGACAATGTCATGCTGAGCACTGGGCCCATCTGGATCTCTTTAAAGAGGAAAAAAAAATGCATGACATCTAGGAATCATCTTAGCTCTAGAATTTGAAATTCCTAAGACCTAAGAATTATCTTCCTTAGGGCTCCATTGATGTCACGATTCCTCAGGCTATAGATGAACGGGTTGGCCATAGGGGTCACCACTGTGAAGATGACAGAGGCCACTGCATCTTGTAGTGAGTAGGAGGAAGAAGGGTGCATATAAACTCCTAGGACTGTCCCGTAGAAAAGAGAGACCACAGTGAGGTGGGAACCACAAGTGGACATGGCTTTTCTTATCCCCCGGGCAGAGGGCATCTTCAAGACCTTAGAGCAGATGTAGACATAGGAAACAACAATGCATACAAATGGTGTCATAAATATCATTCCACCCTCAGCAAAGACTGTGACATCATTGATAAAGGTACCAGAACATGAGAGTTTCAGGACAAGGTAGAGATCACTATAGAAGTGGGGCACTGCATTGTGGGAACAGAAGGTGAGTCGAACCATGAGGAGAGTGTGCAAGAGAGCATGCAGGTGTGTGATGACCCATGATATGGCCACCAGGAGGACACAGAGTCTGGGCCTCATCATCAGGGTGTAGTGGAGTGGGTGACAAATGGCCACATAGCGGTCATAGGCCATCACACTCAGGAGGAAG